TCGATATCGATTATTGCCGTGTGGTATATTTGTTTGAATTCCCCACAAATCCTGATCACCATGTGAACAGGGCACGCTTTTCGGGCTATAGAGGAAATAACAGATATTTCCCTACGATCACGTAGGCCATCAACAAGAGATCGAGAGAATACCAAGAATATAAATTACCTACATATCGCTATAAAGCTTATGTCGTCAATAATATTATCTCTTTTCAGAATCAAGCAATACGGCCTAAAGTGACTGCCTTGAGAAAATAGAAACAAGACGAAGAGAGGAGCTTAGACGAAAGGGCAGCGCCAGGTGAGAAAACTAGAAATAATTGGGGAAAACTATAGCGAAAACCTGTTATCTTTCAAAACAAATTGTCACAATGATTCCTGAATTATTTATTTAGATTTGTACCAATTTCGTTAGGAGCCAATTTGTATTTTTGATGGAATCGCTAATTAGATAAAAGCCTCGCTATCATTCTTGTCGTTTACCTTGCCTATTAATATCTCATATTGTGGTTGCTAGTAGTCAATTGTCGAATTTTCAAAATCTCGTGATTCATATTTACTTGTAAAAACCCCTGACACCTCAGTTATTTTTAAATATACCTTCTAATTGTGGCTAGAGAAGTATACGCCCCAATAGACAATTTGAGAGCCCGTTTCCGATTCCTATTTAATCATAAAATGTGAAATGATCGAACTCATCGAAGCAACCTTTCCAATTCTTATCGGGATGACAAAGTAACTTGTTTACTTATGTGACGTAGAGCAGAGAATTGACTACAGTATTTGAGCACCGCCTTATCAGATTGGAAATATATTTGTAATGAGTATGGAACTTTCTATACCTATCCTTCCTCATTTTCATTGCAAGCTGAACCGTAGAAGGAAAACTAAAGTAATTTTCTCCACTCCCGCAGAAAGGCAACGCAGATCCGAGGAAACCCCACTTCCGCACACAGAAACCCACAGAAACAAACATCCGAAAATGGAGCTGCGCGTGGGCAACAAATACCGCCTGGGCCGCAAGATCGGGTCGGGATCGTTCGGCGACATCTACCTGGGCACCACGATCAACACCGGCGAGGAGGTGGCCATCAAGCTGGAGTGCATCCGCACCAAGCACCCCCAGCTGCACATCGAGTCCAAGTTCTACAAGACGATGCAGGGCGGCATAGGCATACCTCGCATAATATGGTGCGGCAGCGAGGGCGACTACAATGTGATGGTGATGGAGCTGCTCGGACCCTCGCTGGAGGACCTCTTCAACTTTTGCTCGCGCCGCTTCTCGCTGAAGACGGTTTTGCTGCTGGCGGACCAGATGATCTCCCGCATCGACTACATCCACTCGCGGGACTTCATCCACCGCGACATTAAGCCGGACAACTTTCTCATGGGTCTCGGCAAGAAGGGCAACCTGGTGTACATCATTGACTTCGGCCTGGCCAAGAAGTTCCGGGACGCGCGCTCGCTGAAGCACATTCCGTATCGGGAAAACAAGAACCTCACGGGCACCGCCCGCTATGCCTCCATCAACACACATTTGGGCATTGAACAGTCGCGTCGCGATGACTTGGAATCGCTGGGCTATGTGCTCATGTACTTCAACCTGGGTGCCCTGCCCTGGCAGGGATTGAAGGCGGCCAACAAGAGGCAGAAGTACGAGAGGATCTCGGAGAAGAAGCTGTCCACCTCGATTGTCGTGCTCTGCAAGGGCTTCCCCAGCGAGTTTGTCAACTATCTGAATTTTTGTCGCCAGATGCATTTTGACCAGCGTCCCGACTACTGCCACCTGCGCAAGCTCTTCCGGAACCTGTTCCACCGCCTGGGCTTCACTTATGACTACGTCTTTGACTGGAATCTGCTGAAGTTCGGCGGTCCCCGCAATCCCCAGGCCATTCAGCAGGCACAGGATGGAGCGGACGGCCAGGCGGGACACGATGCAGTGGCCGCAGCAGCGGCGGTGGCAGCAGCAGCAGCCGCCTCCTCGCATCAGCAGCAGCAGCACAAGGTCAACGCGGCCCTTGGCGGCGGAGGAGGCAGTGCAGCGCAACAGCAACTCCAGGGCGGCCAAGCGCTGGCGATGCTGGGCGGCAACGGAGGCGGAAACGGCAGCCAGCTGATCGGCGGCAACGGACTCAACATGGACGACTCGATGGCGGCCACCAACTCCTCGAGACCGCCTTACGACACGCCGGAGCGCCGGCCCTCGATACGGATGCGCCAGGGAGGCGGAGGAGGCGGCGGCGGAGTGGGCGTGGGCGGCATGCAGGGCGGAGGCGGAGGCGTGGGGAACGCCAAATAATATTTTATCGTTTAGGTTGCGACGCTGGACACGACACAGTAGTAGACAAACAACAGCAGAACTCAGCAAAACTATACATGTAGAATATATAGTTATATATACCTAATATATATAATACTTGCTTTATATATGCGGTAACACATGTTGAATGTATCCAAAACGGCAGGAGGACCAGGTCCCTGCCAGAAACGGAGGATAAGAAGAGCAGTGAGGAAGGAAAAGGAGCAGAGCAGAGCAAAGCGCAGCGCTTTCCTTCTTTTTTTTCTGTGTACATTTTCGTTTGTTTTTTGACATTTTTGGTTTCTGCTCCCAGATGTTAGAATGTTGGGGGCGCTTATTATTAATTAACTAGCCTATGATTAATTTAATTTATACTATTAGAACATAAACGATTGCAACTTGGCTGCAAGAAACAGCAACAAACCGCACTGTTCAATTGATTTGAGATCCCCGAAGAGCAGCCAATAGATCGGAGGGTAGTAAGAGGGGTTCGGGGATTTGGGAGAAGAGCCAGGAATCGCAGGCATTTAATTCTGTTTCGCATTTGACTATTGCTCTCGGCCGGCTCAATTTTTTCGTTGTTAATTTGAAATCCCAGCCCCAAACCAAGAAGAACATTCAAAACCGATCATAAAACACACATAATAACTTCATTGTAAGTGTAATATTTGTGTAAAAGAAACAAAGGACACCCCGTTCAGCGAGTGTCCCTAACCCTAGACTATAGGCGCTAGCGATAGCGAATCCAATCCATACAACAAAGCATATGCTGTATAGCAAACACCCACATTGTAACCTAAGTTGAAGCCGATTTCGGGGCGCAATTAAACGATGATTATTTGATGATATATATCACGTGCAGTAGAGGGGACGTTCTTTAGCTTTAAGCAACGCTCTGACTTTTAAGGCCCCTCCTATGTTATACTATGTATCTTACTGTAAACGCCTACGATCCCCGCATATTTGTACTATATATACTTTCGTGGTCTGCACTTCGCTGCCTGTGTTCATACATATTTTCCGATTTTTTTTAAAACACTAATTGCGCGCATTTCTCAAGCGGAAGTAAATCCCCGGGAAAATTAGGAGGATGGGCGGTGGGGCAGCCCTTTTGTTTACGCAACAAAATCATGTAACTAAGATAGAGAGCGTATAAATAGCGATAGACATACACAAAACAATTTGCATTAACGTTTCGACTTAAAGAAAGAAGTAATGACCCATTCAGAGGTAAATTACATAACGCTAGCTAATAAATTATAGCTATAATATGAAATTTGTTTATAAGTAATACCAAACCGTAAAAATAAAAACGAAAACACAAAAATGAAAAAAAAAAACAAATTAAATTCTAAATGCGCCAAGAGAAAATGGGTAATATAAATATATATAAATATACAAACTATATCTTATGAGAACACGTAAAACATGTAAAACCCCACAGCGATCGGCTGGCAGTCTAAAACTAACAAATCAAACAAAAAAACACGAAATCGGATCACTGAACGCAGAAGCCACTAAAAACTTAAATAAAAATGCATTACGTGATATTTCTTACAAATTGTTTTATGATTTCTGAACCTTATTTTCCCATTGGTTCGGCAATATCCTTATTTCTGGAACGAAAACCCTATCCAAAGCGAACGCCTTGCAAATCGACCAACTTTGTAAACACGACCATATAGCTCAGCCTGAAATGGGGGATCCTCCGTGGATATAGTAGCCTCCTCCCAAATCCGAATAAACAACCTAATGAGTGTACATATACGAAATATCCAAATATCCAAGTCCCTAAAAGTAATACATTAAAATATATGTGTGATTTTCCTCCTAGCATACAAGAGTAATAAACCTAAACCATTAGCATTTTATTGATAGAAACGAAATCGAAAAGCCCGACAAACTGATTCATAACAATTATGAGCCACTAGAAATGGAGAACTAAACGATCTTGTGTGAAAAGTCCATTCAGCATAAGCGAAAATAGAGAAACTAACAAATTGAAAACATAGTAATTTCGAAAGTTTTGTATAATTAACTGTATATGTATATTGAGAATAGAATTTTGAACTAAATGACTAATTAAACATAGATCGAGTTCGAGCGCAGAGTATCGATTATATCAAGGGCGATATGAGAGAAAAAATTAAAAAACCACCAACAGTGATATGGAATACAAAATAACCACAAATAAATCGAAACGGTTCATGAAACATTTGAAAAGTACGTTAGATCGGAAATCGACGGATGTATCGCACGCCACATTTATGTAATTAGCAAGTATTTCGAATTAAACTGAACATGAAATATGTATGTGTGAACAGAATAAAAGCAGCCACTAAATAAGCCACACCACTCACAATAACAATTACGAAAGAGGCATTAAAAAGCTTAAACAATAATAACACAACTCACTGGAACTGGTTTTTGTGTCGGTAGTTAGCTGTGGGGGGAATGATCCTGGGATATCCTTGATACGTTTCGAACACACCTCAGACTACCCTGAGGAATCTATACTTTCTAGTTTATTACTAACTTAATCGAGAATGTGGCAAAAAAAAAATTGCTAATCAACGTTTAAACTGATTTCTTATTCAAGTAAATTGGTAAATGATTTTGACATATTTTTGAAAGTTAAGAAATTCAGGTCTTCTAAGTATATTGATTTTGTAATTTTAAAAAACGCGCCTGGCAACCCTATTTTTAAACGCTGGTCGCTCTACCAATCAGCTGACTTGGTTGTTTCTTGGATTTACGTGCTTTCGCTTTAAGGTCATACTGAGCACATCTTATTTTGTTGGCCCCGTAGTTTTTCACCGAAAAGGTTAATAAAATCGCCGAAATAAACAAAACGGATTGCGGATTGAACCCCTGAAGACTTCAGACCTATTAACCAGCTACACATATTCCAGGTTTTGCGCCAGGATCAAGAGCAGGAGGAACTTAAAAGATGGGAGCCCGACAGTCTCAATCCCGCGAACCCCGGTCCGTTTCGATGGAAAACCCAACTCCTGCCGGCGTTATTGATATATCCGACGATGTGGTCAAGCGGCTGAAGGCGGGAATATCCCAGCAGGGTAAGAAACCCACTAGTATTAGGGAATACCACCCGGAAATCCGCATTTCGCACTGCCCGGTGTTATGCAACAATTGTCCAAACGGGCGATTGTTTATGCCAAATACAGTGGAAACACCCGAAATAGGTTGGTGACAGGTCCATATACCTGCCACTATCCAAGTATTAAGTCGCTACTTTTTGTGGGCACTATAAATTGTGACTTAATCTCCATTTTATTGACCCATTTTGTTAGCTGGAATATCAGAACACAATTTGAGTATATATTGAACTATCTTATGCTTCAAAATATTATGTCAATGGCATACAAACCAGTAGTTACCTTTACCTATTAGGAATGTTTCCCATATTTTCCTACGAACTGAGCCTTTAATTTTTACACACGTTGACTCGACTTATAGACCTGTGATATGATAATTTGTCTTCCTTTATTGATTTATTTCCAACCATTTCAGCTCGTGAGCACGCCGCCGCTGCGGAGGATTCGAAGCCAGCGCCCAAGGTATCACCTAAGGCTGCTGCCAAGACAGCCACATCCTCGCCAGCTACTGCTCCTGCTCCCAAAGCGCCTTCATACCCCTCTGCGGTGCCCATTTACGTCCAGGGAGGCGGACACACCATCAGTGCGGCCGACGTGCAGCGCCAGATGAACCAGGAGCTGGTCAAGAACGACGAGCTGTGGAAGGAACGCATGGCGAAGCTGGAGGAGAACCTCAAGAAGACCAACACCATCCTGGAGAAGGAGTACGCCAACGCGGTGGACAACGTGCACAAGCGGTTCGTGAGCACCGCGTCGTCGCACAAAGTGCCTCCCTGCCAGGACCTGAAGTCCCAGCTGCTCGCCTGCTACCGCTCTCATCCCGGAGAGACTCTGAAGTGCATGGAGGAGGTGGCCCAGTTCCGGCAGTGCATCGACCTGCATCGTGTCCAGAAACTGGATGCAGAACCCGAGGCTTCGAAAGCGGCAACCAAGGCCACCGTTCCTGCCAAGGCGGCCTAGAGATTCTTGTCCTGATTTGTTGATCTTTTCTTTAAGGCCCCTTATGGGCTTTGTATAAACGTGGAGCGAACGAAAGTGTCATTGCGAGCGATAGTAAACTAATTTAACTGAATCAATCCAAGGAAGTTTTACTGGCCGGGAGTTTTCCTGATTGAAATAAAACGCTTTGCATACTTGTTAAGTGTATCTATTTGGTAAATATCAACAATCACTCCTTTCTCCCGCTCTTGCTCACTCTCATTCAACGCAACAATCCGTAAGACTATAATCTTTAATTACAATTAATATAATCAAATCAACATTAATTACAGCATGTGACCGCGTAGAAGGGCCGCTGTGCCAGTAGCCAAAATGGTAATCAAAGAGGCTCCCAAAATGGTGGCACTACTTTTGCCTAAGTTGGGTTTTTCCTGCGACTGCTCTTTCCCCACATCCTTGTGATCCTCACAGGAGTCATCGAAATCCTTGGCGGGACCCAAACAGCCCGCATAGCTCATAACATAGGCCAGATAGTTCTGCTCAAAGACCCCGCGAATCAGACTGGAACCGGGTCCAGAAGCAAAAACAGCCACGTCCTCGCCGCCGTGGGTCTCGTCCTTTCTGGGAACTGTGGCCAAATGGCGATAAGTGGGGGCAGCCCGCTCCTCCTCGGTGAACTGCTTTAGGGGCATCCACATGTTGGAACTGTTTTGAGGTCTCGAATCGTTGGCCAAGTGGTCCCAATAGCCAGGACCTAAAAAGAAGAAAAGGTTTTTTAATATTTTTATTGTAATTAAGCTGTTGATAATATTTACCATTGGCATACGAGATGGTCTCATAGACCATGGGATCGTTTTTCTCATGCGAGTTGGCTGCTCCCAGGATGTCAGCTCCACGGAGGGCATAACCATTGAAGGTAACCGCATGGGAGTGATCTGCCGTGACTAGGATCAGAGTTTCCTCGGGGTCGGTGTTATTCACAGCTGCTTGGATGGCCAAATCAAATTCATACAGTTCATGGAGAGCAGCACGGGCGTAGTTCATATGGTGACCCTGGTCAATGCGGCCTCCTTCGACGAGAAGCACATATCCTTTGGACTCGTCACCCCTTTCCAAGATTCCCAAGGCTGTCTCGGTCATTTCCTGCAGAGAAGGTTCTCCCACCTCTCTAGCCACGGAGTAAGTAATATGGTTGTTTCGGAACAGACCCATCAAATGATCCACTTTCCTAACATCCACTTTAAGGAGATCCTGGCGGTTGTGGACCAAAGCTGGAGGCGCCGTATCATTGGCATGATGAGCTAGCCACTCGGCAGGAAGATTCCTATTATCGCCACGTCGACAAATGGTTTCCGTGGGTCCTTCGAAAATCGTGGTCTTAACCTCCGAAGCATTAAGTATGCCCATTGGGGACATTCCTCCTCCCAGGATGACATTGAAACGGTTTCCCGGAGCATTTTCTACCAACTGGCGGGCTATATCCACATGAATGCCCTTTGACTCTTCGGGAACTTCCGTGTCGCATTCCCAATCTCTATCGTAAATATGGGCGTAAGTGGCAGCGGGCGTGGCATGGGTGATCCTGGTAGTGGTGACAATTCCCGTGCGCTTTCCTTCCTTCTGGGCCCACTCCATTACGCTTTGGACTCTGCCTTGCTGGGCATTCTTCTTCGAGCGAGTGGCATCCGTTCCAATGGCTCCGTAATGGGTCTTTGAACCCGAAAAGATCGCCGTGGCCGTGCCCGCTGAATCCGGAACCTGTTTGTCCACATTGTAGGTCTGTAAAAGGGGGGTTTTCGATTAAATTTCCATTAAAAGTATTGATTTTCCATTGAAATACTTATGAAACCTGCATTTACCTTGGCCATTCCAGTGTTTGGGAAGTCGTCGAAAGCCAGAGTTTCCTCCTCGCCATAACCGTGCTTCAGATACTGTCCTTTGTAGATGCGACCAGCACTTATCGTGGATATACCCATGCCATCTCCAATGAAGATGATTATATTTCGGGCTTTCTTCTGATAGGAATCCTCCTTCACCCGTTGCGCCTGCTTAATGGTCTTCTCCAGCTGCCTAAGCGCCACTTTGTGCCAGAATTCCGCATCTGAAATTGGATCGGGACAACGAAAACTAATTAAAACTAAATCGGATGGGAAATTGTGGGGCAAGCAAGTCAACAGCCATGTCACGTATTAATTGCCCATCACCAGTGAGATCCAGTTGGCACTTGAACATGTTCTAGTTCGACTTTTTAAGTATCGGACTAGCCGCACTGATTTATTTCCCTATGAACGTCGCAAAATATGTCGAGCTTTTCCACTGTTTGGTGGCAAGTGATTCCCCTTCAAGATTTCTTGATTTATGCACTCGAACCCATCTCGATATATATAATTTGTTGTTCATTGTTAAATGTAAGTCAGCTGATTTATACGTTTGCTTAAGTTAATGTATGCACTTGAATTCTAATTTCTCAGGTTTTAATCTTTATTTATTTAGCTAATCTTAATTTATACAACATGGTCATTTAATTATTTTAGTAGTAGCAATATAATCCCTAGATTTTCGTCATAAAATTCAGTACATGGTAAATTTAACTTAGTCATAAAGTTTTTATGAGTATCTCTTAAAAATTTGTTTTGAGAATTCAGTAATCTAATCTCAGTGAATTTGTAAATAAATCATTTCATGTAAGAACAACACGATCCCACATTAAATTTCCTGATATTCATGGGAAGAACATACCATCTGATCTTATATCCCATTTTGATATAAATTGGAAGAATACAAATAACTTTTTGACTTTTTATAACATTTGCACTTCCGACTCACGATTTCGAACGTACATTTACCGATTTACTTGCGGTGATGATTATCATTTTGCGATATGTAATTAATATTCAGCTGAGGTAGCTTAAGTATGGGGTACCTATTCCGCCCACCACCCACAGCCCAGCGACCTCGACACTGAGACAGGTTACAGTTAAGTTTCATTTGTTGACTGCTAATTTCGGCTTGTCAATGAAATTAAGAGTATATTTAATCGGGCTTTGCTCTGCTGATAATCACTTCTCTCGGTTGATTTTTTCAGGGTATAACTATGCCGTTGTTAACTCTGATTGTTAAATCCAATCATAGTTAAATTAAACAATTAGTGTACTTTTTCACTTCTAAATTTGTTTTAACAACAGTTTTTTCTGTCGTCAATTCGACTAGTTTCATTTAAGTGTGTGTTCCATAATAGAGCTCCATTTGTGATGCTTTTTGTTCCACTAGATTATATAGAGTGAAGCTAAAATTACTATTTGTGTGATTGATTTTTTTCAGTGAGTTGCAATGACCTCTCTCAATTCAAAAAGTAAATGTAAGTGATTTTTAAAGTGCCCAAGATTTTGCAACCTTGATAGAGCAGTACCCAAGTTTAAGTTCTCGTTGCATAATTGAACTGGGGAACCATTCAAGTTCAAGTAATTTAAATAGTTTCACGTTCTAAGCGTAATGCTTTAGTCTGGTTTTCGCACGTTTGGTTAGGAAGTTTCCGTTACAGATACGTTGTAACTGGGATCTGGGTCTTACCTTCGGGTTCCTTGGGTTTTTCCACCTCAAACTGGGGTCCTATATCTCCTCCAGCGCTGAGAGTTCGAATCAATGGAGGCGGTTGGGTTGTGACTGCTGCCCAACTTAAAGCCACCAGACCACCGCATAAAAGTCCAAATAAAACCAGGGAATGCATTTTCCTCAAGACGCACTAAACGCGAGCAATTGAGGGCGACTATTTTTGGAACGGTTGCGATTTCTATTTAAATGAGGATTTATATCACAGCTCAGCTTGAGGCGCAGATTCTTTCAGCAGGCCATCGAAGTTGATTCGAAAATGCGCGGAACGATTTCGTCGTCTCGGGGCTGTCTAAAATTCTGTCCCGTGTGGATCCCAATTAGCGACTAACACCGAAGTCAGCCCCAAGCGCCGTTATATATGTGGCAAGCCAAACTAACTATCCACCCAGCCGATCGGCCAGACCCGAAGTCCCAGCACTCACACACATAGGGAATGATCGTTTCGTCGGTTGGGGGATCATACCCAGTACTTGCGGATTATATCCAGCGCTTTAGAAATATTTTGCATTCGCGTGGGGTTCTCAGACACGTGTTGTAGCCAAAAAATTTAAGTTATATGTTTAACTATAGTTAAAAAATTTATTAATAGCAATAATTAGTAAAATACTATTTAGTAGTTATCTGCAAATTTTTAGGGTGTTATTGTACTTGAGAAAAAATTGCTTAGTGGTTTGATTTTTAAATATGGAACAAAAATATAATTTAAACTAAGCATAAGATCAGATATTTTCAAATGAGTTCAACTACAGGATAACTCTTAGTCTAAAAACCCAGCCCGAAGCCATTAAGTTCGCTGCTTGCAATAGCAAAACGTTTGTCTCAATTAAAATTACGGCTCCACCGAGATTAATCCATAAAAACGTGCAAAGCGTTTACGAACTAAGGGCCCCCGCACCATAAACACATTTAAACGATCATTTGTTTGTCCGGGAATCTTGCCCGGTATCCTCCGCCGGATCCCGTGTCGATGGGCTGATTTACGGCGGAACTGGCACGTGAAGCTGTGGCTGGTCGGCATTATCTGTATCTTTGTAGCTATCTCAACCGATGTCTGCAGATGGAATTGCGCTGCCGTTGTTTGTCTTCCTCGGAATTGATAAAAATCATCAAGGGGTACCCTCGGCGGCACACATTGCGTATGCGTGCTATTTGGACTTGTCTGACTTTCGGCTGCCATTTGGCAAACATTGAAAAGAGTTTATCATTCCGAGGGACTCTGCTGTCGGCGACCCCTCAATGCCACTTATTCAGATCTTTTTATAGGCTATAGAGTTAGGCCTCTTCATTATATTACTGGGAGTATAATGGAAAGCGTCTCTAAATGGGGTCTATTGTCAGGGGTTTATACCATAGTTCTATGCGTATGACTATCACGTCAAAGTGACCGATTGGCACACTAAAAAAGACATTAAACATTCCAACCAAAAATATCCTAATCTGAATATGGATATACTTAGTTGTCAAAAAACAATATAATTTTATAATTTGTTTGTAAAACTGTTATTGTTTGTTTTTACCTTACGGTGTGGTGTTTTTGTGACAGAACCCCTACATGACATATGTTTTTAGCCATTTATAATCTGACAAGATCATAAATGTTTGCATTGGTAATCTCCGGAAAGTCACGTGCTCTTTTTATGCGAGTTTTCATTTGTTTTTCAAGATCAAAGTCAATATTAATCTTACCTGTTGATGCCGTTGTTGGCTACCAAGACTTACAAGGAACCATTTGGTCCGGTGATGATAGATTGTCGACACTTCGCAACGCAGAGCGTTGTAAATCTTTATCTGCTCTCTCGGGTTATCTGAACGTATCTTTATTGCCGAGCAGATAAATCGAAAAAAAATATGGGGATCTTCCACTGCAAGTGACGCTCTTTTTGGACCCGTTCATGCTGTTGCATTCCGTTAATTGTTATTACATCGACTCGTGCTGATTTTTTACGCTTGACTAGCGAAGCACCAGAGATGGGAACTTGTATAACTTGTACCTGAATACAAACTTGGTACACATAAAAATATATCAACCACCCAAACTTTGGTTATCTAAGATACAAACAATAATTTTCTAAGCTATTTTCAGCCACTTTTTATTGAACTTTTTTCGTGTCCCGTATAAATTTTTACTAATATTGCCTGGGGGTTGCGCGGAGAGATTCTATAAAGTGTGCACCTGCAATCGAAAGCTGTACAATCGCAGGTCACATTTCTTATTGGTTTTGACTAGCATTAGAGAAAGTGTTTTGTATAAAATTTTAACTAAAGCTAAGGTCAGACAGTCAAATAAATTAGCACAATTGGTGTGTCATACTTTAATAGTTATAATTAGCAATACAAAAATCTGTAAAGGTTTTGAAATCGTTAACATAGATTTTGAAGATAATTTTTAGAGTTGTTTTGATACCAGTTTGTGTGAGCCTATTTGCGCGCCTGACCTCACCTTAACAAGACGTACAACTAAATGGGCAACAGAAAGTCAAAACGAAAATAATAAAAAGTTGTGTTGGCACTGTGCGAACCCACTATGAGAACTTCTTGGAGCTGAATCCCAATCCTGCCCGCACATTACTGGTGGTGGCCGATTTCACGGTCGTCCTGCTCGTTTTGGTTACGGTTGTGGTGTCATTACTACTGATGTTGCTGATGTCCTTTGTCGTCGTGTTGCTAGTGCTGCTGTTGCTGCTGCTGTTGCCGTTGCCAGTGTTGCTGTTGCTGTTGCTAGTGTTGCTGCTGCTCCTGGTGACCGTGGTGATGCTGCTGCTGCTGGCACTCATCAAAAGAGGGCGGCGCGGCGGCATCCGTTCGTTGACCGCATCCAGGCCCTTGGCCTCCGCAAAGGAGTGGATGTGCGAGGATGCGGTCAGTCCTTGCAGAGCTGAGGGTACATAGAATTGTGGGAGGACAGTGAAGAGTCCAATTAATAATCATCAATAACAGTGTTTTGGCAGAAAGTTCGAATAAGTTTACTTGACTCGAAAATATGTCTCTTAAAGATATCAAGTTGGTAAAATCATTTTAGAAAATTTCAGCAAATTGCATTGCAAATAAAATAGTTCATTTTTGTTGCCCAAAATAATTTCCACAAATCTTCATTTACATGTTTCCAATTACAAATAAATTATACCGTAAATCGAGTTATAATGGTGCTAAGCCAAAACAACTAAAAGTTTTCTCTATTCGCCTGTTTTCTGTAATCCCATTGTCTTTATTTGGATTTTTTTTCTTCCGTATACACTTTACAACTGTTAAGAAGAATATTATAGATTTTATTTTTAAAAATGTAGACTTGAATAAAACAATGTTAATTGTAGTTTTTTTTACTTTTGTAAAGGTTAAAAATTTGATAAAAATATTTAAAAGAAAATTACAAAACACATATTTGTTTTTCACATTTTAAATAAATAGATGTATCTGATGTAATTCTGTGGATAAACCATTTTCGGGTTTTGATCTACAAATATGTCTCGACAAAAGTTAATCTATTCAACCTGATCCTGATGTGTTTAAAAATAGTAAAAAAGCTAATGGTGCCCCGGAAAATAGCAGTTAATAGAGGCCCATTAGCAAGCCTAAAATAGCCATATTTAATGTCGTATCAGTTATATCACGCAAGTGATGAGTACAATTTTAAAGTTATTTGAGTGCCTAAAAAACCGTATCAATGATTAAACTGAATAGCTTAAATATCTCATAAGTTCAGTTCTTGTTGTTTCATGTCTTCTGTAAGATGTGTACTGCATTAATTATTCGGGCTCTCTACTTTGCTGTAGTATTTTCTATGGTTGTAAAGGTTGGAAAATAAAAATTAAAAACTTAAAAAAATGTAATAAATTTTAAAAATAATTCTTTGGAAAAATGTTTATTAAAGGTATCGGGAAAATTTGAATTCACCAATGCCATATGCACATGTTTTGATAAAAATACTGCGACTTCGAGACGTGCCTTTTGAAGTCTGTGAATCGGAGCTACAAATATTTTTCTGGAAGAGTAAATTTATTCAAAAAACCCGTTACCAAAGCTAAAGTAAATGTTCGTAGTGTGTTAAAAATATTTTATAATTTTCGATAACAATTTCAGCTTAGCTTGGGATTGTTTAAACGATTTAATGGATACAAACCGTTTATGTACAATTACACATTGGATTTATGCAGATTCTTAAAAAACCCGAAAGCGTACCCTATTGCGGATTTTTTCTATGGTCTCCTTAGGGAACACTCAAATTTAAATCATACGTGTCCCTACAATGTTAGTGTGTGAAATTAATTGTGTTATCGTGATTAATCCTCATATTTTTTTAACAGCATGATATCATTGTGGATAAATTAACCAACAGCTATGTAAATAATATGTTTGCGAATGTTTTACCTTTTCCAGAGGGCGACTATCTTATAAAGACCCGTTGGATTACTGACGATATCTATCGGGGTTCGGTCAACTTGTATGGCACTTTATCGTGATTGCCCAACATATTTAGTTTCAATTTACTTTAAAGCTTAAAAGTTTGTGGTTTAGTTCTCCATTGACATACATAAAATATTAATAGTTTAGTGATGTTCATCGTATCAGGTTAATCACGGAAATGTGGAGTACCAATTGAATGTAATTTACATGTTTAAAAGGGGGGACAATCACTAGATCATTTGCATGATTGGTTATATTTTGCCAGTAAAATATTTTTTTTTAAATTAAAATGTATTTTTAGAGAATAATCCAGTCCTTGTTGTTTCATGTGTTGTGTAAGATGGGTCCTAATAATCGGGCTATCTACTTTGTTGTAGTTGTTTCTATGTTTCTGAAGGTTGTTTTAATAAATTTGTTAAATCAATACGCCTTACAATCATTTTTTAAAGAGTTCCTCCAAAGTTCAATTCACCAACATCATCTGTACATCTTTGGATACAAATTTCCTTGATTTTGAATATTGTTATTTAAAGTCTGTGAATCGGAGCTACAAATATTTGTCATTCAAAGCCAATTTACACAGGAAGCCAGTTACCAAAGTAAAAGTAAGTAGATAGTGGTGGTTCACGATGAACATATTATAATTCCGGATTTTATTTTCAGGTTAATTTGGCACTATTTAAAAAGTTTAGTGGATACAGGCCATTTATGTATAATTACACCGTAGACTCCTGCAGATTTTTAAAAAATCCCCAAGCAAACCCAATTGCAAACTACTTTTATAGTTTCCTGAGATATCACTCAAATTTAAATCACACGTGTCCTTACAATGTGAGTTTGTGAAAATACTTCTCCCATGGTGACTAATCTGTACATTTTGAACAGCACGATGTCATCTTGGACAAATTATCTACCAACTTTGTGGATAATCAATTTTCAAAAGTCTTACCCTTCCCAGAAGGCGATTATCTTGTGATAACACGATGGATTGTTGGTGATATCGATCGAGCGCTTGTTAAAATGTATGGAACACTTTTCTGATTAACTATAAGGTTTTAAAATGAAGTTTACACAACACGCTTTCCTGGGGTTTGGAATTACTTAAAAAGGCCTTAACAAGTAATGAATACTTTTCGAAGCCTGTAAAAGTGATTTCAAATCTCTGCCACTTTCTTTGGCACCTCTTGACTCTTAAATTTAACATCTGTGATTAAAATCATTTACAAATCCTATTTTACTCTTTTATAGCTAGTAGTTTATAAAAATCATTGGGACTTCTTGACTTACCCTCCTTCAGGGAATCCCTTCCGCCGGACAAGGCGCCCACTGGCAAGGAGCCCGTGGGCGTCAGACCCTTCAGCTGGAGCACGCTCTCCGATTCCTCCCTGTGCGGGGAGATTTCAATATTGGATTATTCAAATAATTTCTGGGGACGGTCGGGGACATTATGCACCTGAGGATGGAGAAGACGCGCGACATCTTGCCAATGGCCCGTATCTTATTCCGTATTATCTCTTTGCGCAGCGCCGACATGGAAGCTGCGAATTGAGGGCTCGATTAGACGGAATCTCGCTGGGTCACGGGGTAAATGTAATGGAAATCAGCTGGAAAACTCGCGGAAAAGCCGATCAAAGCGGGGTGCAAAGCTATCACTAAGCTTCTCTATCTTTGGCTCAGGAATTTGTTTATTTTTTGGCGGCTCAGGCGTTCTTGGCAGCGGCAGCGGCATTTGCATTGGCATCGGTTTTGGCATTGGCAGTGACATTGGCCGTACTTGTTGGCTTCAACTTGGGCCTGCGCTTAACACCTGGCTTACCTGGCTTACTGGGCGTATTATTGTTATTGTTATTACTCGCGTTCGCCGGCACGAGCACAATTTTCTTGCGGAGCTCTTTTGTGTGTTTTGGGTGGAAAAGTTGGTTGGTGTTGTTGGTACATATATTATATATATTATGGGTGGTGGTAGTAGATTGCAGTTGTTGTATTTCGGTTTTTTGTTTGGAAAATAGTTTTAATAGAAGATTAGTTTGTAGTACACGTGTATCCGCATTGGCCCACAACAACCAAAGCTCTACGACATTTACACACAGTCCAGTACGAACATCGCTCTGTGGATCCCCAAACTTACCTTCCTCCAGCTCGTCATCGGGTCCTGCCACCAGTTCGTCGTCTGAGCAAATGTTCAGGATGTTCACCAGCATCTCGGTGACCTTAGAATTGTAATGTAAGATGTATGTAATGTATCATATTATGTTTTAAGAATATTCCTATCAGAAGCTATTATTTGATAAAAGGTTCCACTTAAACCTGAGATATAATCTGATTCGATCCCTTGGTCTAGCACCTACCTTTTCGCCCACGAAGGGCAGCGACCATGTGAAGACATCCATGAAGTTGGGCAGCCAGTAGGGATGTGGCGAGCAATTGAACTGGCGGATGTTCATCACGTTGTTCTCGTACTTGAGCACAGCTGCCTTTTGTCAAATGTTTTCGTTGGGTTGACAATATCAGCGCGAGCGGAGAAAGGGATGGGGCGAGTGCCGGTGAAAGAGAGGGAAGAAAGGTATTACGAACGCAGCGCGATTTGAATTCGCACCAGCTCGCAATGCAGCCAAAAAAGATTTCGTTATTTAAAAATAGCAAAGGAAAGACAACAACAGCAAAATAAATAAACAACCCAGAAAGAGACGGAGCTACAGCTGATGAGGGAGAGAGGGAGAGATATCATACCTTGTTGTTGTAAACATCCAGATAATTGGGGGCGGAGAAGATAGTGATCAGCGAGGGGAAGCCCGTAACCTGGTTCTTCCGATACATGCGGTAACTGGAAAGGATATTAGTTAAAGGAAGATAATAGGATAGTTATAAATTATATCATATGATTAATGAGTTCTCTGTAGAATCTTCTACCATATAATATTTTTGGCGAAAGTAACAGAATGCGAGGATCTTACCCCGCGTCCTGGGCCTCATGGGCCCTGACTATCGACAGGAGGTTGTTCTTCTGCAGGAACTCACAGCAGGCCGAGTAGCTGAAGAAGTAGGAGCAGCCACGGACCGAGTTGTGGGAGAAGAACTCATTGGTTTTCTCATTGCCAAAGTCCTCCAGAGGATCGGACCAGAGGAGGTCGCACATGGGTCCATAGGCCGGTGGTTCCCTGAACCGATTTAGCTAAGAATACCCCAGGCAGATGCATTATTTGGATAGTGCCTTGTAAACATTTCAGCGCTGGTTTATTACCGTCTTGATGTCGTCGAGTGTGAAAATCTCGGGCGACAGACCACCGTGAATACAGAGGAACTGCTGATTCAGGAGGGCGGCGAGGGGCAGGCAGTCAAACGCCTCCATGCAGGCGTCGTAAATACTTTCCGAATACTTGATGATGCCTTCAACAAAGTAATATTAATGGGTTGATGATGGAAGGGAGATTTATAGGCTGCAGTCGCATTTAGAAACGAATTAAAGCCTATGACAACAATCGTAAAATGTGCGGGGCAGATCGCTTTTAATGTTTTAAATGTTTCAGATTAACCGCTTACTTTAGTTTGCAATGCAAAATAGGGGTGGGAAACTAGTAAATAAGCCTAATTAAGTCCACTCAGTTTTATTAGATTTTGTAATAGTTGGAAAAACCCCCTATTGTAATACATTTTTTTAAACTATATTATTAAAAGTCAAGTGGAAAGATCTACGATGTTAATAAGGGGGTTTCCCTGGGATTATTTATATTTAACGTAAACTCACATTCCTGCTTGAAGGTAAAGTACTCTGTGAGGTGCCTGCACTCGTGATTTCCTCGAAGCAGGGAAAGTGTGGTGGGGTAGGTTATTTTCAGGGACCACAGATACAGAACGCACTGAAAAAAATGTGTACTTGTTAGTATACAAATAGAAACTTTCAAAACCTTTTAAGGTATTATTAGCCACCTCTATACTGAAGTATCCTCTGTCCACGTAATCGCCCAGGAAGAGGTATCTGGTGGTGGCCGGTGGACCACCCACCTCGAAGAGCTTTACGAGATCGAAGAACTGCCCATGGATATCCCCGCACACGGTGATGGGTGCCTCCACGTCGATCATGTTCTTCTCCTCGCGCAACAGGGCGGCTCCTTCGGTGATGATCCTCATGGCCACCGCCTCCTCGATTCGTCCCTCCAACAGGAAGTGCTGACGCAGGACGTCGAAGTTGGGTTTTCCGGTCTTAGGATCATCGTATACCTCTGACATGGTCAGTTTGTGGGCAGGGGGCAGTGGTACGTCTAAGGAGTGCAGCATTAAGAGTAATTTAGTATTAAGTATTATGATTTTAAATATCGAAATCTTAAACATTAGTATAACATTAATTACAAATTAGCTTCCGGAAAAATATTGTTGCATACTTTTAGACACCTTTATAAGTGGATTCAATGAAAATTTCCACTTTAGTTTTAAAGTTCCATATCATTTATATTTGCTATAACGTAGCTCCCAAAACAGAGGAAACAACACATGAAATCCAGTCGAAATAGCAACTGAATATGAAAAATAAGTTTCTAAATAATGTTCCCATATTTTTTCTGTGTAGGCTTGCATTGATAGAATTATAATAAACATCGCTGTCCGATGGCGATGTGGGTTAACGAGGTGCTGCAACTTAGCGCCAATATTCGGTTTGGCCGCTTTTCTTGGCCCGCCAATAAAGAAAACCGAAATTCCGCCAGATGCAGCCACATGAGGTTCGTACGCTAATTACAAAATTTGACTGAGTGAATATAAAAGTCGAAAATTGATTGGCACACACAAAAACAAACAAACGTAATCACACACACACAGGCAAACTCAGGGCGAACGCCATTTTTAATTGTCATAATTTGGGTAAATGTCTGAAATTTTGACGCAATGGCCAATAAAATGCCAATGTGTTGCAGTTGTTGTTTGCTATGGGTGCTCAAAGATAATTAAATTTATTTTTATTGGCCCAATAAACCTAAGAACAAAGCAGGCACCGCCTTTTCATTAAGGGTTTCGCCAACGATGTCAACTGAATGATTAATTAAAAGTACATTTTAACTTTATGGCGGAAGTAAATAATTTATGAGTTATAAAAAACGGTTTTTTGTAAATTTATATCGGCAACGATGTCATTGAAATTAAATTTTTGCAAAATAAATAAACACACTCATGATAAAAGATGTTTGATTTAATAATAACAATAACAAATATGTATGCATTGAAAAAAAAATTTTTTTTATCTTATGACTTGCCATTCCCCTAATTTTTTTTAAGCAAAAAATATTAACGCTTGGTTTGATACTCTTCAAGTGCTTTTCTATTGTTTTGAAAATTACAAGCATGACTTCCTGGGTTTAAAAACACACTTTTTCGAAATGTTTTCCCCTGCTCACTGAATAGTTCAAAGAAAGCAATTTGTGAAACCCTCAATTTTGACATTAATGTCGGCGGTCAGTACATCAGAATGCCATTGAAGCATGCTCGCATGTCATTAAAGATACAATCGCAGGAGGGACTCATGTTTGGGTTAATGCTTGATTGGGATCCGTAGTTCTCGTACTTATAAAGCGGGATCTTACCATCGACCATGCGCTCCCTGGTTTTTGTGTACTGCATTTTCTGTTTGTTTCCACTGACGGTGCTCGGGGTTTTCGAGGAATTCGGCGAGGACTTTGTGGATTTGTCTGTACTAGAACTTTTGGATAGCGACGACTTTCTCGTCACCGAACTTCGCGTGGAGGCCGACATATTGTTGGATTATTTATTCGGCCTTTGTTTTTGTTTTATTTTTCTATTATTTTTTATGTTCTGCTGCTGTGTTGATTTTTTGCGATTCCTTAGCACGATATATATTTTTTAATGGCTTGACTTTTTGCTGGTGCTGAAAGTGTTACTAGCACAAGAATTTAGAAAATTATACGCCTTTGCCTAGCGTCTTTATGGACGACGGGACACAAAAACACACAAAATACACAAATATATTTAGGCAATAAATAAAACTTGTTGTTATATCTGGTATAGCTGTGGACTTTCTTGTATTTTTAGCCAGGCAATGCCAATTTAGCGAGATAGAGACGACTTTGCCGCAGCGCACACGAAACAAATGTTGAACAATTAATATTTCAATTTGCTGCAATTATTCAGAGACGTATTAACTTTTCATTAAGTCATCACAGCACATTGTTAAACGGATGCTTTTTGGCAAAGGGCGAGAAGCACTTCAATTGAGACGGAAAATTGCTCGACACTTTGTACTAATTACCCACAACAGAGATGCCAAAAATAGCAATGGATTCACAAATAGACGGGTAGACAGGCACACATATATCACTTTGGTCACACTTTGTTTGCTGTTTATTGCTATCTATGATTATTATTATTTTCTGGCTAATCCTTCGGGGGCTTTGGGGGCCTTAGTCTCGATAATTTTCACGGGACACGACGCAACGCATTTCCCAAGTTGGCGCGACGCGATTTTCCTCGAAACTGAGCAAAATTCGTTGGCATCGTTTGGCATTCAAAAGACCCAATTTGAAAGCCCGAAGAAGATCGGCTGAGATCGGCGGATCTCACGCCCTTGACTCCCACTCTCCGATGAAAATAAAAATACAAATGTACCCCACTCTCTTAGGGTTCCGTCTATTTTGTTATTTTATTGGGTTAATGTGACACACGCACTTCGGGATCTAGAACTGCCCTTCTGCGATCGTCGATTCGACGACCTTCACAGACATTTACACATCTGCGATGTGTCCACCCCGATGCCCCGATGCCCCGGTTCCCCATCCTACATCCACATCCGCTCTCAATGATTTTCAACTTGACCGTGATATTGATTGTGTGTGCGTGCGCGGTGCGTCTGTGTGTGTTTGCCAGAAATTGGGCGCCAATAGGTGGGTGTCGCTATAATTATAGTCTTGACTTTGTGCGCGCCTCGTGCAAAAATATACGCGTTCTACAATCAGTCGGGTGTATTCGGGTTCAGATTAAATTTTAACAATGTAGGCGATATATAATCATATCATATCGTATAATAAAATAGATCTTATTATCATATCATATCATATCATATCATATCGTTTTATATCAAAATATAATATCATATCAATCTATAAAGATCTTTAGTAAATTTTCAGGGTAATCCCCATTAAACAAACAACGTAAAACAATAATTTCTAATAAAGTGTTTAAAGTAAATGAAAATATTTAAAAACTAAAGACAAGAAGTTAAAGTAGTTTTAAAAATAATATGGTATATGGAAAGTTTTAAAGACCTTAAAAGTTTTTAGAGACATGTTGCCCTCTCTATACATGTATTTCACTACATTACAGAATTCTACTTAGTTAATTTGGTTTCTATTAAATGGTAGAGCATTTGGAGTCCCCCAACCCATTTATGTCTTTCGCTAGTGGAACCAATTTCATGCAACTTTTATGCGAAGCGTGGCAATATTTTAACAACAATCTGTGTGGATGGCCACATAAAAAACACACTCACAAACAATATCGCCGCGTGTGTGTGTTTGCCTCGTCAATGTTGTTTGTCGCGATGGTCAATTGATATGTATGGTTTGGCTGGTGAAACGCTATATCGCCGATAGATAGTTCCATAATATACGCTGGGAAGGATGTTGTCGCCCGATTTCGGGCACTCGGAGTCTCACAATCGGAATCCATTGCAATGCCAATGCACTCGCAGCTAGCCGAAATGCGCATCGATGGCACTTGGATTTTCGATTTGGCAAAGAGCAGAGACGATTTTACTTTGACGCCCCCGCGAATTCGAGAATCGCAGAGAGACAAAAGCGAGTCACACGACCGCCACAGACTAGAAAGAAATACTTTCCGGTGCTAACCAGTGGGTGGGATTTTGGGGATGGGAACGGGGATTGTGGGGGTTTTTGGGGGTCTTAAGGGGCTGTAAGTGGTTGCGAAAAGGGGGCGGGATGGGTGGTTCGGGCAGAGCGATGAGAGCATTGCATTCTCGTCGCGAAATTTTGGCAAACGCGCTGACAGCTCGACCCAGTCCAGCCCCCTGTCCTTCTTGGGGTATCCAATGATTATACTAGGTGCTCCTAGAAGGTGTATTAAACTTTCGGAGGTGTGGATATAGAAGGAACGTATACCGAAATGCTTAAAACATAATATATCATATTTTTGTACGCTTCATGGATAATATATTTGTATTTTAACAGAAGTGGTACAGCTAGACAACAAATATATTCACTTTCAAAGAAATCACAAAGGTATTAAGTCAAGGTTTATAAAAGTATGCAACAGTATTTTGGTATTCTGAAAGTTCATGGAATTATTTCAAAAAGCTACGCTTCTATTTTCACTGCATACTTTTAGACACTTAGAAGGTTATCCATTTAGTTTGATATAAAATATTATTAAATAATGAGTGCATTGGGAAATAAATAAAACCTAATTACCGGGTATCCCATAATTCAATATTTCGTCGCACTTTCCCATTTAAACATATATTCCGATATGTGGCTATTAAAACAAGCCGAAAATATCGTTGGCAGCACATTTTAAGCGCAATTAAGAGACGAGGCAACTGCGGTCATCTGGCCGAGATTAAGTGGACGACACTCGCAATTGATTCGCCTCTAAATTATCTAAATTAAAGACTGGCAAATCGTCACGGCTAAACCAGAGCAATTCTTAAAGATTTGCTGAATAATTTGCCAGTCAGGTTGAGTCAAGTTGTTCGCATTTCACAGGCATTTCAGCGACTGACACTTAGAACACCCGTTTCGTCATGTCGGCATGTCACAAAGTCTTCGCCCTGATATACATTTTTCTTTTTTAGAAGCAGCAGATAGCAAATAGCGAAGTGCCAAAATAGCCCGCGCACTGGCCAAGTATTTTTAAAACACTGTTTTTTATGCTCGCACGCAGAAGCCCAAATTGCTCGCTTCCTCTCTTTTTGCACATAAACAAAACGCCACTGAAATAAAAAGATAATATTGACACGTAACGCAAACATTTCATTCATTGTTTGAACATTTTTGTTGGCAATCCCCATTGTTGTTGTTTAGTGTTTGGTGCTGTATAAACAATTCATTTGAGTTATGTGACCACGGGCATGGGCTTGTGTGTGAATGATGGCCGATTTGTGGGTATTCAGTGGCCAAGGAAAGGAAATACTTGGGCAGTCACTTCCTCTCGAGCATAACTTAATTTAAATTAATTATTTGAATTGATTTGTAAGCAAATAAATTGCAAAGCTGGGGCTTTGAAAAAGCTTAGCCAATTCAGAAACCCCACCGAAAAGCTTTCCAAACTAAACAGCTCAGCAGAAATGTTCCCACACTTTTCCTTCGGAAAACTCTTCATGTCTGCGACTGCCATTTTACAAATTGATAAACTTTCCAGTTATCATTGTTTATGTATCTTTCTGGCCGAGGCCTTCATTCCCTCTTAACCTTTTGACGCTGGGAAAACTCAGCCCTTTCCCTCCTCATCATTGTTTTCTCTGCTGACTGCCAAACATTTGCCAAGCCAAAAGTTTTTTCTGCTCACATTTGTTTGCTTGGGATTTGCCAAAAACAGAAGAGCCCCCAAAAAGAACCAGAGCCAAAAACTTCAAATATAAAAAGGCAGCACAAATTTTTATTGAATTGATTTATTGACTTACTTATTTGGGCGCTCAACGCTCATAGATAAAACCTTTTTCTCAGTTTCTTTGTTTTCTCGCTGTCAGCTGGCAGCAATAACAAGGGCCCAAAATAAATATTTAGTTTTCATTTATACAATTTCCCCAGCCTCGGTTTTGGCCTCTTTGTTCGGGGCCAATTTGTGTTTAACTTTATCGGGGGGTTAATGCGAGTCTATAAAAATCAAGTTAATTGAAAAGTAACCAAGAGTAAGTCTGCGGGGATTTACTAGGGATTGTAACAGAGCCATTGAATTGTAATAAATACCTTCTCAGATATGTTGGCAAATAGGCAAAAGAAAATTAAATATTAGTCCAAAGTGAAAAGCTATTACAAATACATTAACTCAGGAAAGTGTCAAATAAACTTTGGTCGTCAATACTGTAAGTCCAGAGTGTAGCCAGTTAAAATCAATGCGATAATCGCCCTCAGGAAATGGAAGGACTGCTGTCAGTCTTTGATTGATGAAATTGGTGGGAAGCTTGTCCATGATTAAATCGTGCTTTGCATAGTTAGGTAGTAAAGTTAATTAGATTTATAATTTTAAACTTATTTTAACTTACGTTGTACGGGCACGAATGGTTTATATTGGTGTAGCTTGAATACGACTCAAAAACAAATTTTGCCACAGGATTTATGTTCGGATTTTTCAAAAACTTACAGGCGTCCACCGTGATGTTGTACATAAAGGGTTATATCCACTGTATCGTTTCCAAATTCCGAAATTTATCTGGTATTTTTTGTATAAATATTCAAATTAACTTTTAATGTTGCTTAAATACTTACTACGGCTTTGGAGATGGGAAGTTGATATAGCCTTAATTTCATCGAAGTATACTTATAGCTGCGATTGACAGACTTCAAAAAGCAGTAATCGTATTCACAATATGTTTTATTATAACATGTGCAAACAACGTTTGTAAATTCTACTCGCGAGTCAATCTTAAAAATACATTTAATAAATTTAGTGAACACTGAAAAAGAAAAAGATATAGTGGACTTACTTCCTCGGCTGATTGTATAACTAAAAGAATAAGAACTAGCCAACATCGCTTTAGAAACATTTTGTACCACTGATTTACTTCAAGCCACTAATGGATTATTCGTCAGTGAGATCACTTTAAACCAGAACATTGATCGTAATTGAGCAAAAACAATTTAAAATAGGGCACTGTGGACGTAATTATTTTTTGATCACATTTTATAGATTTTATTTATGTACATAATTAAAATTGCTATGAAATAGTACAATATACTTTAATTACTACAATACAAGATTTATGATAAAACCAACGAAATTCAAATAAGTAATCTCCCTCAGGGACGGGAAGAATTTTTGTCACCCGATGATTCACAAATTCAATTGGAAGTTTTTCCAAAATTAGGTCGTTCTGGTTAAAATGATGAACAATATTTAAATAATTAAAAAAGGTACTTCATTTTACTCACTCTGTAGGGACACGAATGGTTTATATTGGAGTATTCGATGAACGATTCAAAAATGTATTTCATAACTGGGTTTGACTTGGGATTCCTTAGAAATTTGCAGACATCCGTCGTTATATTGTAGAGGAATGGCTTGTATCCGTTTAAACGCTTCCACATTATGAAGTGCACCTATAAGTTTTTAAATAATTATTATCATCAGTTATATAATAGCCCTTATTACCTGTATGTTCTCAAAGGGGATTTGGTACAACTTATATTTTCCGGAAATATACTTGTAGCTACGGTTTATCGACTTCAGGTAGCAGTACTCAAACTCTCCAACTTTTTTATCAAAGGATGTGCAGTTAAAGTTTGTAAACTTAAAGTCGGAGTTAATCTGGTATTAAAATAAAATATTACAATTTATTTAAAATCCTGCATATAGTACATACTTTATCCACTGTATAAATAACAAAAATAATAAAGAATACGAAAATCTTTTTCGTGCTCATCTTGCAGCTGCTGGAAAACTCAATACTAACTTTGCTTTTGATAGCTAGCACTTTTAACCTAAATTACTGACAAAAAATTGAAATCAGCATCGGCAATAAACAATTAAAAGAAGCTTAGAGTTTAAAAATTGCAATTTGATGAATTCTATTAAGTGTATACTAAACCATTACCACATATAAATAATTTCAAAATAATATTATTATATTATATGCCTTCTACATTCTACATATTTAAAACGCGCCAACATTTCGTATGTTTCAGAATATAAGATATACAAATGCCGTTTTTTTTTAAATTCAGAAAAAATAGTATAGTGAACTATAAAGTTTTCCCCTTAAATTAATAATTCTGAATGATAACAAACAACATCGAAAGACCGTTAACAACGCACCCAAAAATCTTAAAGTAAGTAAATTTTGGGTGTGTTGTTAACGGTCTTTCGAATTTGTATAGTTTTTAAATTTTTTTTATTAATAGAATAGAATAAATAGCGCTAGAAACAAATCAACCTTCACCATTTATGAAAGAGTTCCATAAACTTCGGCTAAGGCAGTTCTATTGTTACCAATCAGCCAGTACATTCTAAAAAGATATTTACCATCCGGAAAAGGAAGAACGTCAGTGATTCGGTGATTTACAAAGTCGATGGGAAGCTTATCCAATATAATACCGTGCTTAAATAAGATCAATCAGAATATCATCCGGAACATATAAGGGGATACGTACTGTTAGTGGACAATGGTTTATATTTGAGTAATTAGAGAATGAGTCGTAAAGATACTTTAGTACGGGATTCGAATTTTGATTGTTCAGGAAAAAACAAAGATCCAATGTAATATTATACATAAATGGCTTGTATCCATTATATCGCTTCCACAGAGCCACATTCGCCTTGAATAAATTTAAAAATATTATTATCTTATGACGGACTTAAAGCTGAACTTACCCTAAGTTGAGTTATAGGAAGTTTCTTTGGATTAAATTTTCCGGAAATATATTTGTATGTACGGTTTACAGACTTTAGGTAGCAATACTCGAATTCACCAAAGTTTTTATCAAAAGACTCGCAGATAAAATTCGTAAACTCAAATCGTGATTCAATCTAAATAGTATATTAAATTAACTAAACTGAAATTGATTGAATTGTTAAAATACCTGAAGGACTAAATAGACTAGCAAAATAATTATGACAAGAAAAAAAACCCTAGTGCACATCTTGATACCTTCGTTATTTAACAAATACTAAAATCGTCAGGCCAATATTAGTATTGATATTCACTATCGTGGAAATGAATTGTGAACAATTAAAAACGAATTATATATTCCGCAATACATATGTTAAAGGTATTATCGTATTCAGTGAAATTGGTATTTTATATTTGCACCAAAAATGGGATACTTAAATATTTGGGAAACATTTAATAAAATATTAATATCAGCTTAGGCAGTTGAAGAGTTTAGCTGAAGCTCGGTAACCTCTCAATCGTTTATCTTGTTCTGGCAGCCAGTTTGACCAGTTTGGGCCTCGGGTCAATATCTACGACCTGGGATCGCTCGTTATGCTCATCACGTGGGGCGCATTAATTTGCACACATGATAACCCATCGACAAACCCACCGGTTCCCCCCGAAGTTGTGCGGGTAATGCAGCTTGCTAGATTTGCCTTATATGAGCTGCAAATTGGTTGCTCACGTAAATGATTTTCATTTTCCAATCATAACATTACGCGTGCCTGCACTGCCAATACTCACCTGCCGGGGAAAATATATCTGGCATCTGGAAATCCGGCGAGGCGAGGGAATCCGTAAACATTTGCGGCACTCACAATTTGGCTGCCGCTGATTACAATGCGGTGAATTGAATTAACATATTGGCCGGCGGGCGGAATTACGGAAGCTGAGTACCGGTGGCTGGGAGCTCTGGATATGGCTTAAACTGTCTACAAATAATATTGCGAGTGAGCGGTGGGTGGTGGGCGCCATTGCCATTATTTATGGCCCCCAAACGCGACTTGTTTGCCTTTTGTTAATGACGAGGCGAAAGTATAAAGCACAAAGTGCCGACAATTGGCAGCAGCTGAAACAGGAGCAGGATCCGAAGGATCCAAAGCTGTGAAGCTCGCAAAAAAGTTAATTAAAAGTGCAATCAAGCAGCAGCCCGGACCGCAGAAAGAAAGCAGGGGCGGGGGGCCACAGGGGGAGGGGTCGATAGGGCACCAGGTCCTGAACGAAGCTGACATTTTGCCTGCAACGGAGACGACAAAAATAGATGAAGGCAAGGAAAGCAATTTCCACACCGCAAAAATACACGGAGATATTCGTGCAACATATCCTAATACTTTTAATTTAGAGTTATAGGAACTAAATTTAATTTACTTAAGGATGGAAGTTTTTTTAAAGTTATCCCATTACTCGAAATCGATTCGAAAAATGCTTAGAGGACGAAAATAAAGTCTATATCTCTATTATAATTTATTATATCAACTCTACAAGCACACATTTTTACTGCATACTTTTAAGCACCTTTTAAAATGATTTAAGATATCTTTACATTACAATCTATTTTTAAAATTTATAAATATATATATATTAGAAAAATTCCAGATTGACCATCAATTAGTATCAATTTCTTTCAGTGCGTCACAACATGGTTCATGGGGTCATGTGTAGCATGTTGTATATAAGTCCCATCTCAAATACGAGCACGTCTAAGTGGGGCGGGGTAGAAGGGGTTGAGGGCAGGTGCCTACCTGGAGCATCGCACAAATTGCTGCAATTATAGCCGCCATAAATTATAACAACTTAAAGCTTAGGTAAACGAGGCAAAGCCGGAAAATAGATAAAATGATAAGAGGAGTAAAGAAGCGGAAGCGAGAATGAGATGAGACTTTGGAAAATGCATTTAATTGATTTCCCTGCCCGTCCTTGGCTTTTCTTGACAGGCAATATAATTTTTATTGCTTCTCATTTCCACCAAGAACGCTTTTTTTCCACCATTTTTTGCAGGTGCCAAAGTTCCCCCGATTATGATTTATGGGGTGGAACTGTTGATGATAAAAATAAATTTATGAGTCCTGGAACTTTGAAAGATTAATTTATTAGTTTTCCATTACTGTAGCGATTTGTGGAGGGTTTGACAAGTTGGTTGTACAATTCATGGTTTATGAGGGAGGAATTTTCATAGTGCTTATTTACGATAAAAGCATTGATCCTTAATTTCTTTTAATTTTCATTTATTACCTATATATTTACGTTGTACAGGATTGTTAAAGCAATCTACCTAAGTTTAATTTTTAGAACTGATACAGTTGTTCTCGCAAACCACATCCAATTGTATTACACAAAAGCCGTTTAGGTTCAATTAAATGTGTCTGAAACTTAATAGCCACCAGCTTGGGGAGTTCTTGTGGTTTTTGAACTGTCAACACATCAATTAATTAACCATTAGGACCTTCATTGTTGGTCCTGTGAATGCCCTTTGAGTGGCCAATCCGGCGACTGCGGTTGTCATAATTACCAGTCCCATCGCTCAAGTTCAACTGCTTGGACATTGGGCCCAATGAAGTTGTGGCTTCAACCAGTTTAAAAGGCCGAGATCCTTGCTCCCCGCACTTAATGTGCCATAAAGGCTGGCCACAAGCGCAAATACATCCGATGTATGTAATTACGAACTCTGACCTTGGTTGAGTGAGTGGTTTTCAGCATTTTGATTCAATTTCCCGCTGAGCTTTGCTTGCGGGCGGCCAATTAAAAGTAATTTAATAGCGCGTTGTAATAATTCCGTTTCCACTTCTTGGCCTCGACAAATTTAATAGCCATACCGCTTGGGTTTTCCTGTGGCGTGTCTCGCGTCTTCTATTAGTGTGCAAATCATATTTATTTATTAGTTCTAATTGCATTGGCCAGGTGGAGAGGCCAAGGAATCGCTCGGAAAGGCAGCCGGCAGCTGTGGTTTGTCTAACGTTATTGCATCTGAAAGTTAAGGCCCCTATTATTATGTTACCCTTTCCTCGGAACCATACCTTTAGTTTTACTTTAACAAGGAAAGTAAAATCAAAAATATATATACTTAACAAAACATACTCAAATTAATTTTGAAAATTTTTAAATTGTACAATTTGAGGTATTGCAGAAAGTTGTATCTATATTTCTATGTATCTGAACCAGAAATAAAATGAATTAATTTCAGAAGTGAGGGATGTGTCTTCAAACATTTTGATTTAATTACGTAAAAGGCATCCCCCAGGACCTTTTCTTAGGGACTATTGGATGCCAAGCCAAAGGTCATTCTTTATCCATATCAGTCCGTTTCGTGCCCTCATAAGTATCAAATTTTGGGTGAGAGCATGCGGGACTCCTGGCATTTCAATTACGAATTTAGCTTGCTTTTCCAATTCCATTTTCCCCAGCCTCACCGGAAAGATATTTCTGTGTTTTGGGCTTGTACGCCGTACAATCCTGCAACAGCTGCAGATGAAAATTGCAAATGAAACTTAGCTGCGCTCAGCTGAAGTAAGCTGAAGTGGAAGTGAAGGAGTCCTGTGAGTCCTGGGAGGTCCTGTGAACCGAAGTGGGGGTAAGCAGGACTCGCAAGTGCCTCTGAGCTGGCTTGAGATCCTACGGTCGATGCACAAATCAACGTTAAGTGCATGTAACTCTCACAGACATAGACACATACACCGGAAGTCCTATGGCCCCTGCTCTTGTGATGGTGTCAAAGTTGCATGTTATTGCACCAACATTATTTCTTCCCCTCCGAAAGTGCAGTGGTGTGCGTGGGAGGGCGCCATATTATACACGGGTATGGGTGCATGTTTACAATTTGAATTAGGGTGAAACATAACACATGTACCAACGACAATTAGAACCCATAACTCTCACTAACTTTAATGGTTCGTATTGGAGAGCAATTAAAGCCGACCAATATCTGTAGTTCAAAGCCATTTTATTGTCTACAGCCACATTATTACATATTTAGACTCAACTATATTGGGAATACAAAACGTGTTCTTGTTGTCTTTGGAAATATAAGAACTTTTTAGATTTAGGTCAATCGCTTGTACAGGTGTCTAGGTGTATGCAATAAATACATCGACCTTGTTTTTCCAATTGAATGGATCTTTAGGCACCCGTAAAATAGTTTTATGACCGTAGTGATTTTATATAAAAATTTTGGTAAAGGAAGAATTGTGAAAACAAATCGTCCTTTTGATCAAAAGGATACCTACCTAAAAGATTGACTTTTACTTCGAAAACGAGTATCCACTCTAATATCCACAGATACATGCATGAGTTCACAAATGTTTGTTGGCTTTGAGGTTTCTTTTGCGGTGTGGCCCATGTTATCGTTTTTGGCCAAACACTTTTTGCCATCTTCGTACACTGATTAATTGCATTTCAAGTGCTTGAGGGCGGGGTCTGGGGTCGGAGGTCAAGTGTGGGGGTGCAACCACATGTGCAAACGAGCCAATTCATTAGCACCATTCGACACAAAATCCGAATTAACCCAATCTCGGTGAACGAGTCGTCCGGTTAAGTCGGAAACTCACTTTTAAAATTGCTCATAAACTTTTTCAATTTCAGCGGGGCCAAAACGGAAAAAAATCATGGCGGAAGCGGTGGAACCGGAAAACCGGAAAAACAAGCAAACTTACTGGAGTGCTCAGCCAACATGC